GAGTGTGTGTGAGAGTGTGTGTGTTGGACTCACTGCGAGGGGCGAGTCGGTCGATGTATGACAGTAGCTGAGACTTCGCCACACCTGGATCTCCCATCAGACAGATGTTGATGTTCCCTATAAACACAGACATGTATTTCTACAGCGACACAGAGCGTCTCACAGGAAGTCACTGTTATGCCAATGATAGATAACAGAACTGATGTCATCAGCACTACATCAGCAGTGACTCAAACAACTGAGCCATCAACCAATTCAGAGACTTAAATATTGGTTTTCGTTCAGCTATTTTCGCAGAGAGAGCTCCAGACTCCCCTTCCCACTGGTTGCACCAGAACATGATTTAGTCGCACCTTTTTCTCTTTGCTACAACATGGTATTAATCAACGCATGGCAATGAATAGCGGTCTTACTCTGCGTACCCGAGTTCTGCCCTGGCGGGACACGAGACCTCATGGTGGCCAAATGTTTTAATCTTTTAACCATCAAATGAAAACCATTAAAAGACACCATATTTTTAATGTTGGATTATATTTGCCTATATATTGCATCCTCGACTCCACACTTTGTTTTTTACGTAATCAGCAAATGACCTTCATTTTTAGACGACTTTTCATCATCAGTTAGCGTGTAGGCTACGCCACTGATAACAGGGAGTGAAAGCAGCAGCCGCTGATGATGATGATGATGATGATGATGATGCAGCGGTGTTCGGTTGCGCACGTGCGTATTCAAATGCTACTTGGACGTCCTACTGTAACGTCTACTGCGGGAAAATAGACGATTTGCCGTACGTGAAGAAATCGATAAAGCTAACCGATTAGTTTAGATTATTTGTTTAGCACAAGTGCAGAACAATGCAAGGAGGGAACGAAGCCACTCGAGGCTTGTACAGAGTTCCACTCCTGCTCCTATTAACTCATGAGACATGCAGACTAAACATCACAAAGAAGCAAAAACTAAACACACAATAAAAAACAACAAACGATACAAAGCAATTCAATACAAGCAAACCATACCCAGAAAAGACTACATAAAGGCGTCAGGCTAGCAATAGTAGCAGGGATGGAAATTAGCACCCGCCACCAGCCAAATGCGGGTGATTTTGTGTTGTGGCGGGTAAACTCGCTTCACCTACCGGCCACCGTGGCGGGTAAATAAAAATAGCATACTGTTTCACCCGGACGGCGGACACTTTTAGAGGAGGCACACCTTCAAACAAAAATGTGGCGTTACATCGCAGGCGTAGAGGTCTGCAGAGAAAACATCATGGTGCGTTCACACCAGACGAGAATAGAGCGTCTGGCGCGAGTGATTTCATTGCTAAGTCAATGCAAAGACGGCGCGAATGAGGTGTAGAGCGCGCCGTGGTAGATGCGAATACGCCTCATTCGCGCGGCAAGTTCGAGCTGACGCGTTCCGCGCGCATGATTTTGAGTGCTTTTGTGCATTCACGCGTTTGACGCGAATTCGCGTCTGCCGCCCGAGTTGAAAAATCTGAACTTTGGCGTCAATTCGCGCCGCGTTAACCAATCAGGAGCCTAGCTGCTGTCACGTGGTGAAGTATCGGGATGCTTCAATAAATTATTTTGTACTAAATGCCTGATGTGGTTCTAATGCACAACAAAGCAAATATTTTATCACATAAAACTTGATTTCAATATATGAGACATATTCATTTTGCATTGAATGCTATTTATTCCATTTCATATCTAGATTATATTAAATATTATTCTAATGTAAAGGCAACCAACATACTATAGCTCATAAATCCGTGTCTGGAGAGTGTTGTGTGAGAGAGAAAAAATCACAGGACAGGTTATTTACTTTTGGAGGCTGGCTCAATTTATCATCAAAACAAAAATAAATGACAGATTAGGTGGATGAGGCCGAGGGTGAGAGAAAGAGAAAATGTCAGTATTTCATTGAGACTTGAGATTAAATAAACTGCTTAAGTATTCTTGTAGTATTAATTTTCACATGCAGTTACACATTGTCGGTTAAAAAGCAAGAAAGTGGCTGGTAAAAACATTGAGTGGCTGGTAGATTTTGAAATCCAGCAGCCACAGTGGCCGGTGGACAAAAAAGTTAATTTCCATCCCTGAATAGTAGTCTCTTCAAATGCTTTTTAAAAGCTGAATAAGAGGACATTGGTCGCAACGATGGACTTACATCACTCCAGAGCTTAGGACCTCTAAAAGAAATATTAAATTGATGTCTTGTAGTTCGTGTGTATGGTAAGACTAAATTATTATTGCTATGTCTAGTTTGAAGAGTGTACATGTGAGATAGGGATAAACTCTGAAAAGAGTCTGGTAGATCTTGTTTCCTATATATGAACTTATGCATAAGTAAACATGTTTGATAAATATTTACCTTATCAATAGGGACAACTTTAAATTTATTATAAAGGGGTGCCGAGGGTGCATATCTATTTGAATGAGAAATAAATCTGAGATATTTCTTCTGTATGACTATTAATTTCTTCAGGTAGGTGGGATAGGCAGCTGCCCAGACAATATTGCAATAATTAATAAATGGAAACAAAAAACTATAATATAAGGTTAAAAATGCTGAAGAATGAACTGAAGGACAAACCCTCCTCAATATACCCAACATTTTAGCTGACCTCTTAGATACGAAGTTGATATGGTTAGACCAATTAAGACCACTATCTATAATGACTCCCAAAAATCTGGTATGCTGAACCAATTCGATTTGAGTTATTAATAAAGATCTTAGATAATTCTATAGGGTAATGTTTGTTAGTATTCCAAAAAATCATAAAGTTGAATTTTTTTATGTTAAGAGTAAGTTTGTTCCATTGAAACCATTCCACAATATATGATAGTTCCTCATTGACCATTTTTTATTAAAATATTGAAGTCTTGGTGAGAAGCTACGAGATTTGTATCATCTGCGAATAGTACTGGGAGGAGTTTGGTACAAGTCATAGCCATATCATTAATATAAATTAAAAATAAAAGAGGCCCCAAAATTGATCCTTGGGGGACCCCAATCGTAATTTGTGACTTCATTGAGGAATAGCCTTCCAGGTAAACATATTGCTCTCTATTAGCCAAGTAGCTTCTAAACCATCTCAAGGCAACATCCTCCACTCCGTACCTACTAAGTTTAGCAATCAAAATATTGTGACTGACCGTATCTAATGCCTTACTCAGGTCCAGGAAGACTCCAAGAGCACATTTTTTATTATCTAGAGCTGAAGAAATATAGTTCACAAGTTGAATAAGGGCATGCCCAGTAGAGTGTCGCTTCCGAAAACCATATGGATGTTTGTATAAGATAATCTCGAATAGACGAGTCTTTCTAAGATTTTCAATATACACGGGATAATTGATATTGGCCTATAATTACTAAATTCCTTGGAGTCACCGGTCTTGAAAATTGGTATAGCCCCAGCAACTTTCAAATCCTGAGGGACCATTCCAGTTCTCAGAGACCGTGAGAGAATATGAGTGAGAGGTTTAATAAGAACACTTTTAATGCCGTCATGACCATGGGCTGCATTTCTAAGTGCTAAAATAATATTCCGAACCTTTTGAACAGTTGGTGGGTCAAAATTATAAAATGGAGGATATTGAACTTTGATTAAAGAACATGGATGTATATCCGAATCATTAATGTTAGATCAGAACCAACCGATATAAAGAAATCTAACCATTAAAGATTGGAGCCTAATCTCTAATGATTAGGCTCCAAAGCCACATACAAGTGAGCATCTCTTTACAAAGTCAACTAGCCTATACATTTGTTTTTATAAGTTGTTTTTTTAATAAACTTGATAGTCTTGAAAGATTGTTTTAACATGGGGTGTGTACAACATTCGCATGTGGTAAACCACAAATAACCAAGAAAACAGCTCCGATCATGTCGTTTCGGTCATACTTCGATACGCTGGCGACAGCAAACTCGACGGATTAACCCCTCGTGCTAGAGCCTGTACAGGACACCTGTCTGTGCATTACATCAACTAAAAGAAGTTTATACATCATATTTTCTGGCTAGTTTACTTCAGTTTGGGTGAAAGTATGGTGTATTATAAAACACTAAAGTTTAAATAGGTAAATCTTCTATAAATATTTTGGATTCTTCATTATTCTGATATTCGCTTATTCTGTGCATTTTGAGCACTTTTTGTGAGAAATCATATTTGGTTAGTCCACCATCGTGTGCTTTCACTGTGATCGAGCTTGAGCAGCAAAAGCTCCCGCTTCCCTGTAGCTCACGCGCCGCTCCCGTGTGTGAACGCACTCACTGGATAACCAGATGCTGGAGAACATGCGCTTGCAGACGCCGAGAGCGCAGGAAGGCCGGCGCCGCTGAGTGAACACGCACTCACACACACACGTCACACTTTAACTCGCACATTCTCAGAAAATAGTCGCATATGTCGACCAGCGTGGAGCCCTGGAGAGTGAAAACAAGAGTCCAAAGTACAGTGAATAAACCGAACAGATGTTGACCTCTGACCTCTGATCTTCATGCCCCGCGGCGCCTGCTCCACCCCCCCCACCAGCAGCAGCAGCAGAGCCTTCTTCACATCCTCGTGGCCGTAGATCTCAGGGGCGATCGAGCCCGCCAGCTTCTCGTAGAAGTCCTCCTCTACACACACACACACACACACACATCAGTATACAGGCTCTGATGAAGTCCTCCTCTACACACACACACACACACACATCAGTACACAGGCTCTGATGAAGTCCTCCTCTACACACACACACACACACATCAGTATACAGGCTCTGATGAAGTCCTCCTCTACACACACACACACACACACATCAGTACACAGGCTCTGATGAAGTCCTCCTCTACACACACACACACACGCACACACACACATCAGTATACAGGCTCTGATGAAGTCCTCCTCTACACACACACACACACATCAGTACACAGGCTCTGATGAAGTCCTCCTCTACACACACACACACACACACACACACACATCAGTATACAGGCTCTGATGAAGTCCTCCTCTACACACACACACACACATCAGTACACAGGCTCTGATGAAGTCCTCCTCTACACACACACACACACATCAGTATACAGGCTCTGATGAAGTCCTCCTCTACACACACACACACACACACACACACATCAGTATACAGGCTCTGATGAAGTCCTCCTCTACACACACACACACACATCAGTACACAGGCTCTGATGAAGTCCTCCTCTACACACACACAGTGATCGACCAATATATCGGGCCGATATTTGCGTTTTTTTTACGTGTACCGTAGGGGTGTAACGATACACAAACCTGACGGTTCGGTACGTCCCACAGTTTAGATGTCGGTTCGGTTCGTTTTGGTGGGGTGGGAGGGGTTTAGAAAGCTAAAATTGCTTTTTCTAATCAAACAGTGCTTTAATGGACAAATTGTGTCCTTGTCTTTAAATTAATTCAATTACAAGTGAACGTTTCACAGGGATAAAAACATTATCTGCTAATGCTGTAAACTATATAGGAGCCCTTACTTGCACATCACTATAACATTAAAGCTTAATAGAGCCTAGACTTTTAGCCTAAATTCAGTTGATATTTATTTTTTAGATATAATAATAAACACTCAAATAACAAATTGTATGAAAACATGTAAACTGCACATAAGGCAGTTTTGGCAATAACATGTTTTTACTCTAATTTGTTATTGAAATATAATAATTTACACAGTTGCTGTTATTTTCATGACAGATATTTTAAACATACATTAAATAATCAAGATATCATTAACAGGTTAAGTAAAATATAATATATAGATTATAGTGATGGGGAAAGATTAAAAAATTTGATTTTTGATTAATTTGATTTTTGAAATTTGATTAATCGCATTGTTACGCGCAAAATTGAATAATGAATTCTAAAGTAGTGTATTGCGCACTTTTGATTTATACTGCTACAAAAGTGCAATAACATGTGGTTTGCAAAAACTTTAAACAAATAAGGTGCTTTTATACCAGCAGTATTCCCTTTACACAGTAGCAATAAAATATTTCTTGTAAATCTCAACTTAAACATTAATGTAATCAAATCAAATATTTAAACAAAGCTATTTGCCACTGCCAGGGCTTTACCTTTTATCTAGCTTGTTAAAACGAGTCCAGTTTTCTTGTGTGTTTTTTTCTGAACAGGTATCTTGTATCAGGGAGCAGCAGAAACAGTCTATGAGGTCAAAGGGTCATGATCACTACTACAGATATAAGTCGACCAACGTTACTTCTCTGATAGCAGCTTAGGTTTGGTCATGGCATGCCATGGTTTCCCACGTAAGATTACATTAAACAGAGGTAAAGCCCAATGTATACTTCTGCATCGAACTCACGCCGTAGCTGTGTAGCGCGCGTACCCTGACGTGCATCTCTCCAAACATGTAACGTCAATTCTACGCGTACCGCAAGCGCTGTGATTGCTAGAACCGCTCCCGGGTTTCACACTCTCCCTCTGCATGTGTAATTGCGCGTCAACGTGGACAACGACGCAGATATATGAAAACCAACGCGTAGTCTATAGCGTAGAGGCTCCGGCGTAGGTCCGACGCAGAAGTATAAATCAGCCTAGAGTGAGGTGAAGTGGTCGAGCACAGGTGCAGCGACAGGCGGGTGCGTTCCTGTGAAACTGTTGCAGTCATGCTCGCCTCACGCACGCGCCCGCGCTCTCCCGTTGCCGAAGTGGAATTGTCTAACTTTTTGTACACGACGCGCAGCACAAATCATTGGAAGAGAGACTGATCCTCGGCTCGCTGTTTGTGAGTTTCCAGAATCTAAATAGTTATCAGGACATCAACAGGAGGGAATTCAGAGCATCCCCGCTAAACTAAACGCAGGCCTATCAGGTAAAGTTATGTTTAATTTTAATTTAATAATAATAATAATAATAATAATTCATTACATTTATATAGCGCTTTTCTAGGCACTCAAAGCGCTTCACAAGGAAGGGGGGAATCTCCTCAACCACCACCAGTGTGCAGCTCCACCTGGATGATGCGACAGCAGTGCGCCAGAACGCCCACCACACACCAGCTTACTGGTGGAGAGGAGACAGAGTGATTAAGCCAATCAGTATACATGGGGATGATTAGGAGGCCATGATGGACAGAGGCCACTGGGCAAATTTGGCCAGGACACCGGGGTTACACCCCTACTCTTTCGAAAGACATCCTGGGATTTTTAATGACCACAGAGAGTCAGGACCTCGGTTTAATGTCTCATCCGAAGGACGGTGCTCTTTGACAGTATAGTGTCCCCATTACCATACTGGGGCATTAGGACCCACACAGACCACAGGGTGAGCACCCCCTGCTGGCCTCACTAACACCTCTTCCAGCAGCAACCTGGTTTTCTCAGAAGGTCTCCCATCCAGGTACTAACCAGGCTCTGCTTTTTAATTTAAGTTAAAAAGGCTATAGCTGCGTTGCGCACAGAAGCCGTTGCCATGGTTACTATCCATAGAGCGCCTGTCAT